TTTAAAAAATATTTAACAAAATTTATAAAACATAATTTAATCCTTGCCAGAAAATTCTGCATGATGTAGCATGGATATCGCTTAAACTCCACATTTACCGTAACAATTTCAAAAATTGTAATTCACACCACAATTATCTCTTCAGATGGAATATATTCTAAATATAGTCCGTCTATCATAAAGCAATAAAATGCCACAAAATGACCGCTCTTATTTTGAATTGCCTATTATGGCACCTTTCAAACGAAACACGTGTTGTGTTTTGTTATTCTCAAAATATTTGTTTTATGCATTTCACTGTCAATAGTACAAGAAAATCAAATTGAGTCTTGTAAAAATTGAACTGAAGAGAAAATTCGGTAATTCAAACCCTCTAACAAAATTGGGAAACTGCAGTTTAACTTCAGGTATTTTATAATATGGAGCACAAGACTCCTGGTAATTCGGGCTGCAGCCAGACGATCGGTTGATGACTTTTTTAGAATTAGATCGGGAAATTCTCGGAATAAAGTGTCTATACATGATTTGCGATTTTACCTTTAAGTGTTTTTTAATTCTCAATATTAGTGAGTCTCCATTGCGATAATATCAATACCAAAAGTATCAGCTTCTGAATGAAGATGACACCTTTCGAAACGTGTGGTTTATTCCTTTCCCCTTCATAATTTATGTAAAAAAAATCTTCGGCACAAAAGAACGTGCTCGGTTCCATAAGCTTCGCTATTAAGAATTTACACTGTATTTGTCAAATTGGCAAAAGTGGACAATAAAGTTTTTATAAATAGTTACATTTGCGTGGGACAAGTTTATCTTTTATTCACTACGTTTCCTGTTAACTCTTTGCTATCGAAGGAAGTGATGATGGATACCGAGAAGAAGACATCAAAATACATATTTTGCGTTCTACTTTTTAACCTTCGATACAGTTTTGCATGCAATACAGCAAGTCAAAGTTTACTGTCAAATTTCAATTTTATCAACATTTATTTGCTACAAAGTTCGATCAGAAGATAACCCCGTACTGAAATTTAAACCACTGGAAGGCTATTTTTTAAACGTTTCTCTTTAAACACTTAGCGGATATTTAAAATTAGGTACTTACTCAAAAAAGCTTTTGCGATAATTTTATTCCAACTAATCGAAAACAGTCTCGTGGCGTATAAATTAAAATCACATAACGTTGGAATCGTCGCGTCGTTTTCCACGAACTCGTTTCTACAAGGGCTTTTCATATTAATATAAATAACGTTTAATAACCATTCATGAGGATGTTATAGTTATAAGCATAAAATGAAGAGAATAAAAAATGGAACTTTTTTCTTCATATTTGCCTCAAGAGTATTGACTATTGATAGTCTTCGTTAACGACAGATGGATGAAGAAGGAGGGTAGATTTTGGTCTGGACTCTCCCCTTCCCGATAAAAAAATCAAAATTCAACATTCAGTCAACATTGGTAATATATTTCGACTTTCAATTTGACACATACAATTCCACTCCGCGTTTAATTGTTCAGTTTTTCAAAAAATTTTTCGAAAATTTCGCTTTCTCAAATTGTTAAAGGCTTTCTGGGCCAGTAAGTGAACTGATGCTCTCCTGATTCAGTTCTGAAGGTCGTCGTCAGTTGGAGTTGCTTCCTAAAGTTTCGCTAGCACGGGCGGCGGAGCTGCAAGTCCTCATCTAGCAATAGCATCAGAAATGGAAGGAACTCTAAAGATTACCATTCATGCTAGCGAAACGTTAGGAAGTAACTCCAATCGACTAAGGCCTGAGACTTAAATCAGGACAGCAGCAGTTCATTTCATGTTCACACAAATCAATACGAGTAAAAATATTTAACGAAGCAGGACCGTTGAGACGCTAACTTTTCAGTCTTATCAAAGCCGCAATTCGATGGTTCAACACTAAATGCAATGTGACGGATTTTAAAACGGAATTTCCTTCTAAATGCACCTACAGCTAAAGACAGGAAGCCTCGAAATATCATCAAAAATTGACCGCTTAGGTCCAAAATCTTCAAACTACAATTTTTCTGAAGAACGTTGTTACATTTTGTGGGATTTACAAATGTTCATCAAGGATATCGACTTGTTGAACTGAGTCAACAGTGTATCTACCCCTACGTGGTAGATGTGTAACCAAAGACAACACCAGAAACTTTTTGTTCTGTTTGATTGGATTTTTATGTTACTTTTGCATCCGTTGCATACCAATATTTAAATATATTTGGAAATTAATCAATCAAAAGCGAAACATCCATAAGTAACAATTGCAAAACGTTCACCGAAAACAGAAATTATTCATTTCTTTATCAACATTTTTGGTTAACGTATGTTGTATTTTTACTGTATTTTTTCAACTACGTCTACCTGAAAAATCACATGCTTCTCTAGAAAAAGTTCTAAACTAACCGAACTCTCAAAATCTGTTTTAAAAAAAGCATAGCAACCCTCAAAGACTTTAAATTACATTTATTTGACTATTATTTATATGATTATTAATATGAGAAGACGACTGATGGTGATGCCTCTCTTTGTGTATGTGTATATCAAAATGCATTTATTCAAATCCCGTCGAATTTTATTTAGGTGACATCAACATTCTAAGTATAAAAAATCAAGTAGGTCATGTTTGTTTCTGGGTAAACTTAACACGCGGTATTTTCATCGGACCATTTTGCTTTTCAAACTCATACAGTAGCACATGTTTTATTGCAACATGAAATAATGCTTCGAAATAGATTTGCTACCCATAAAACTTTTAATTACTTGAAACCCAACACGCTGTACTCCACATTTGATTCTTTGCCAAGAAAATAAAACCAGTTACTCCAGGAAGAGTTTATATGGAAATGCATATACATAGCAGCCGTATTTGCACCCATAATTATTATCCCAGCTACCTTCATATGCCGACTATTATCAGTAACCAAAAGGGAATTGCAATTTACTCTCTGTAACGATGTTTCAACTTCTGAAAGATTAAGTTACTCCCCTCTAATTCATAATAAGAAGAAGTCAAATATTGTTTACAAGACGGCAGCTTTCTCCTTATTTTTTATTAATCAAAGTCAATCTTTCAAAAGTAAAATTAATTAGTCCTTTATAAAAAAGGCTATTGGTATTATCTGAACATTGTCGTTAATAAAAGTTCATTCTCTTTAAAGACTTTTTTCCAGATGAGTGAAATTCATTAGAACACAAAGTTGGAATTTTTATTTTTAGTAGAAGCCTCAAATAGATATAATTATATGTACTAGTACCTACTTCTTAATTTTCAGACACAGAAAGGTACAAAACTGGTATAATATTAAATCAAACAATGTTGTACGTAATAAAATAAAGCGTGGTGAATAACTGATCATCATGTTATTATTATTAATTATCAGAAAACGACAATTCCAAACAGTGCAATGCTTGTCTATACAATCAGTGAACTTTTGCTTATGAAGAACCATTTGTGCTTTATACTAATCGTATGTGCAGAATGGATAATATCACATTTCATACTGACTTCTCACTTAATCAGCAAAATGTCTTTTATGTACTATCTCATGTTACTGCTAGGCAAATTATAATTTATTGTACACCATTAAAGAAAACACATTTAAATCCGTTAGGTAAGGATTTAAGTTCGATCCCAAAATACAAAGTATTCCAATCAAAGTATAGAGTAAGGTAAAAATCAACTTGTAATCGTTGCACTATTGGTGCTTATGTTATAGTCTAGACGTGACTAATAAATTGTTTTGTCCTTTGATCCAACGGAGACTCAACTCTTACTAAGGACAAAATTAATAACTTGATTGACTAGTCAAAAGCAAAAGCAGATAATTTTTTTTTCTTTGTTTGACTGTTCGGTGTGTTCACTCCTCCTCAGGATTAACCAAAATCGTCACGACTTTGAGGTGAAACCATGATCTATTTCGGGGTTTGGTCAAATCCTAGGATTCAGTAGTCTTCTCGCGGATAGAAATAATAACACTCAAAAGGCTTCTTTTAGCACAGCCGAGTCAAGTTGTTCTTCTTGTCAACTTCTGATTGTGTAATATCCATTAAAATATATGATTTGATTCGACTCTGGTGGAAACATAGGCATTGCTTTTTATAACAATGATGCGGTTATTGTTGGAATGAATGTTTTTTTAAGGAAAACTTAAGTAGCTGTTACTGAATCCAAATATATTAGTAAGAACTAAATGTCGATAGCTTATTATTTGTAATGAAAACAAATTAAATTGAGGTCATCACCAGGTATAATACGAACTTATTATTTTAGTGAAAGATAATGTCTTCAAACCACTTTTAGCTCTTAAACTTTTAAAAATTGAAAATTTAATGTGTGCTAATGTAAAATGTTGTTCAACTTGAACATTTCCTGCTTTTGCCATTGCACAAATCTTTTTCAAAAGTAGTAACGGTGATCAATCCACTATTGGCATCAGTAACTATATGTTTATCTTTAAAGACAAACATAAAGAACATGCATGTGGAGGCGTTTCGTAGGATTCCTTCAAGGATTTTTAAAATTCAGTATACTTGTGAATATTTACAAAGCAAACTTTTAAATGTTCATACTAAATTTAATAATGTAATAATCAAACCGCGAAACGTCTTAAAAATACAAGGGATATCGACAGTGTTTGGCCAAAGTAACTTTTGATGTCAATAATATTAATAAAATAAATGACCCGAAGAAATGCAGAGTTATGTAATTTTTCAGCTTGTAGGTCGGTTGCAATATGGATGATGTCATAGCACATATGTCGGCGACTAAAAATATACAGTTATTGTATGTGCAAAATCGTTAATTTAACGTTAATTGCTGAAACTTCCTCTTCAAAATTCTGCGGAATTTTCATAATCCGACATTGCTCGCATTTCAGACAAAAATGGAACAAAACATAAAACTGATTTTTATAATTTATTGATCATCTTATAACAATTATTTTTATCAAAATTAAATATAATATGCGAAATTTCAGGTATTAGATTTTAAAATGGAATTTTCTTTTTCAGGAGAGCTATCAACAAAAATGGAATTAAAATTAATTCTTCTGTTTATTTTGGCCGCAATTCTAATTTCTGAAATTCAATCTGCTGAACATAAAGAGGTATAATATCCATATTTATTTTTACTTACTCATTTTTCCTCAATATCTACATTACGGCGACATCTGCCACGAATCCTACAAACTAATTGGAAAATTGAAAAGGAAATAGTATTTGAGAATACAATTTCAATTTTTGTCGAAGAAAAATTGTTTCTTTTAAAAGAACCACACACACGGAATGCAATACATACAAAATTTATTTTACAAAACCCTTAAACATATTTCAGTAATAAAAGATTAAGGATTAACTAACCATTGCGGTTTTATTCGGCAAACTGTAAAACTCAAATGGAAGTACATATGTCTTACAAATATACTATTTCTGCGTCTGTTTTTTAAAATCGTGTGTAATAACTTATAGTATAGGTTTATAAATGTTTAGAGAAAGCATAAGTATCGCAAACACAAGAAATGGTCTCCACCTGCAGCACTGTCAAGCAATTTGGATGAGGAAGGTCCACAAGGAATCTCAGACGAAGAAGAAGCCCTTAAAGTTGCCGAAGATTTAGCAAAACAGCAAGAACGAGAAAGAGAAAGGGAAACTTCTGAAGCTGATGATTCTGACGTAACTGATGACAAAACTCCCCTTATTGGTAAGAATTGTATAGGTATTAGCAATTTCGCTACAAAAACACGAGATGAAATAACAATTACAGCAAAATTGTTTATACAAATTGTAATGGTATTGTAGTAACAAATACCACATTTAGATAGATGTGCGATGCAATAAAATTTGCTGCAAATAGAACAATGCAAAAAATGAAGTTTCATTTTCTATTCTAGACCCGTGCTCTAAAGTACATTGCGGAGCTGGTAGAGTTTGCCAGTTAGATGAAAATGAAGATCCTCTCTGTGTGTGTATCCCAGAATGTCCCGAAGAGACAGAAGAACGTCGTAAAGTATGTTCCAACTATAACGAAACATGGCCATCCGACTGTTCTATCTACCAACAACGTTGCTGGTGTAGTACCAATGACAAAAAATGTAAAGAAGAAAAATACAGACACATCCACATCGAGTACTATGGCGTCTGCCGTGATATGCCGGTAAATAATTATAAGTTTCTTATTTGTTTCTAGTCATATCTCGCATTACCTAAACCATATCAAAGCGTTCTAGAAATGCTCTCTTTAATGTATAATCCATAACTAATTAAATTAAACAATGGGACACTTATAAATACACCTGAAGACTGAAGGAGAAGTTAATCCGCTTAGACAACCTTCGTCCAATAACTTGGATAGGTTGGACAGCTGGACCAAACAAGTGAATTCAAAAAACTAAAAAAAAAAGCATTTTGGTGTTTCATTCTCACCAGCTAGTAAAGTTAGTGGGCGGACAGTCCTTCCGGATTATGCCCGAATGTAGGGCGGAAGGCCTTCTTCAGCCTTCTTTCACGAATCGTGGGAACGGATGGGTGAACAGGAGTATCTGTGGAATATTACTGTCTTAGCATTTGCGTAAATGATCCAAGGAAATCAAACAAATACTTAAACCAGGAGAGACAAACCGGGAGTCGAACCGGTGTCTTCCCGAATGCTTAAACAATAGTCTAAACCTCTCGGTAGTGAATCCACTGATATAACGGTTTATGGACAGATCGCCATGATTATACCATTTCGAACGATGGCGTCCCACTCTTTACATTTAATTAATTATCAATTATACATCAATGAGAGCATTGTTTTTTTATGTAATTCTTTTATGAAATACGACTAGAAATGTATGAGTTATTTAATTTTGAAATCGCCCATTTATTCTATTTATTAATCTCTGTATCGTCTTCAACTCCAAAACTGGCTGTACACGCACTTCAACGTTTTCCTGTCTTGAGCCAATTTTCATATTTCTTAAAAACTAGAGCAGCTTACATCTCTAACAATTTACAAACACTAATGTAACCTCCTGTTCTGCTTCTACTTTATTGCTAACTAGCCCTTCATATCTGAGGTCTCCTACCAGCCTATTTATTCTTATTGACTTCCATGGTGCCCTCCCAAAGCCGCAGATCTTTTATGTTGCAAAAAAAAATACTTTAATTCTATTTATGTTTGGAATTTAATGAATAAATAAAGGAAACAGGAATAATCTTTACAGGAATGCAAGAAAGAAGAAATGGACGACTTCCCACGCAGGATGAGAGATTGGCTCTTCAACGTTATGAGAGATCTTGCTGACCGTCAAGAACTCACTCCTCACTACTATAAAATGGAAAAAGAAGCCGAAAATAATCTCACTCGTAGATGGGTTAATGCCGCTATTTGGAAATGGTGTGACTTAGACATGAGTCATGACAGGTACGAATTTTTTATAATGTTTATTTAAACGTTTAAAAAATCCTTCATTTTACAAAATCTAAGCAAATTTAACGACATAACAAATATCAATAGACCCCTAAATCTAAGTGATAGTTAACGTGAAGAACTATTCAAACGGTCCACCAAAATCACGTTATCATAAACGAATATATCCAGTTTCCCCCAAGATTTGTCAAAGTGTTTATGACCTGCCTAATTTTTGAACTTTCTTTCGAAAATTTATGTTTTTATTATTAATCCAGTTAAACTGTACTTTTCACTCGTTAATCAGTATATCCTACACTTTTTTTTAGTTAAACAAAAACATCTGAAACATAAATATCAAAACGCGTAAGATTTTTTAATATATCCTTTGATGTGCTTAAAGCTATTGTTTGATTTGGCCTAAGTTTGACAGTGGTTAATAAAATAAATAGATAAATTGTTTGACAGGTACGAAAAACATCATCTCCCTCATCGAAATGTACAAGTTGTAGTTTTATGAAATAATTTTGTTACAGAACCGTGTCGCGACACGAACTCTTCCCGATTCGTGCCCCATTAATGTCCCTAGAGCATTGTATGGCTCCGTTCTTGGACTCATGTGATACTGATAACAATCACAAAATTACACTTAAAGAATGGGGAAAATGTTTAAATATTGACGAGGTAAACAACCCTTATTTAAAAATTTATATTATTAATTAACTTCCCTTTTTTGTATTAATTTCAGGACGAATTGGAAGACAGATGCGATGAAATTGAAGAAAATAATAACAAAAACAATGACAATAAAATCAACGAATTAGTTTAAACATAAGCATATTTAAATTTTAGATATACTTCTTATGTATGATACTTTAATAAGTTTTTCTTGGAGTTAAAAATTAAATGTAAAATTAAAAACTCACTGCCAAATAATGTTAACGTAATTGTTATTCATAAATAATATTGATAGGCCTTTTTATTGTTACTGTTTGTGCCAATTAGTTATCTAATAATGATTTCCAATGCTCTTTAATTAATTAATACAGTCTCTAGCTTAGAATATACGAAATACAAATATTGTAAATAAAGTTTTTACTTTCTAATTTGTATTTTTACTTTAAAAATTACAATGTATGTAAAATGCTACGAAATATTAAATATAAATCCTAGAAAACTATGTTCCTATACAATTTCTTAAAAACACGTTAATTTAAGTTAATCTAATGAACAAAATAAAATTCAAATTAAATATTACAATATGCAAAAATTAAATTATTGGGTCGGTAATATTTAGTATATATTTTACAATTTATAATATTTTTTAAGAAATTGGTTTGATAATGAGTCATACGTGTATAAACCTTCGTCTTTTGAAATAATTATGCCACCGTTGGTTAACAAAATTTTCACACCCTGTACATCATATTTGATGGATTTAATGAATAGTAACATTTATTTTTGATTGGTTGCTAGAATCACGTGACCGAAAACGCTTGCGCTTTACCCACAATACCGTTTGGCGGGTACGTATACGTATCATAGAAATCGACGGTTAGAGGTGTACCTTGTAATTATTTGGACAAATTAAAATGGTATTTAATTTTTTCTTACTACTGAAAAATGTGTAAATATTACTGTTTAAAAATGTGTTTGATGTTTATTATATTTACATGTTATAAAGGTGTACAAGTGCATAATGGAATTTTTTGGTTTGTTTAGGCTGGCGGTAAAGCAGGCAAGGACTCCGGTAAAGCTAAAGCAAAAGCAGTTTCAAGATCAGCGAGAGCCGGTCTTCAAGTAAGTAATTTTAACTTAATTTATTGCTCACATTGCAGATTATTTTTATATCAAATTAACATGATCCGAGTGTGATTGATTAATTTTCGTGTTGGTAAGGTTAGTTTGTAAGTTGCTAATTGCATTATTTTTAGTTTCCTGTTGGAAGAATCCATCGACATTTAAAAAATCGCACCACAAGTCATGGACGTGTTGGGGCCACAGCTGCTGTTTATTCAGCAGCTATTCTTGAATATCTAACAGCCGAGGTATGTAGATGAGCCGCCATTTTTGTTACTGTTTCGCTACTTGTCTTACTACATTTCCCGCCTAAATTCAAATTTATGTATCCCAATTTGATTTCTGAATTTTACTAAAATGAACCTAAAATACATATTTTCTGTAAAAGTAGATTAAAATGGCAATTAAAGACAGCTTTTATTTAGTTTTAGATATGTTTTCTTTTGACATCTGTAAAATATTTATAATATAATAGGATATACAGAGTGTTTTTGTAAGTAGGTATTGGAACTGGCTGGCAATGCTTCTAAAGATTTGAAAGTGAAAAGAATTACTCCCCGTCACTTACAACTTGCTATTCGTGGTGATGAAGAGTTAGATAGTTTAATAAAAGCAACAATTGCAGGAGGTGGTGTCATCCCTCACATTCACAAGTCGCTGATTGGGAAAAAGGGGGCACATTCGCAACCCGCTTAAATAGATTCCTAGAGTGTAATATGATAATTTAAAAAAGTTGTTTATGTATGAGATATAATGATATGCTTACGATGTGTTTTAATATCGTAACACTTATTTCCTTCTGTTTAAATAAGTGCTCATCATATTGTCATTTAACATACAATTTATTAGTCAGTTTTGGACCAGTTTTCACACGGCAAATGAAAGTTTCTTATTAGTTTGTATTATGTGGAAAGGTAGAGATGACGTGGTTGTAATGCCCCTTTTGTGTACTACATTTCTGTAGTAATAACAGAAAATTACTATTGCGTTAATGTGCCTTGGAAGCATTATTTAGAGTAAGTTTTGGTCTCCAGAGTTGGTAATTTACTGCATAGTTTTAAAGTGTAACTTGATGAATGTTTGTTAGCTTAGTTTTTATTACATTAGTAATGTAACCGTTTGTGTTCTGACTTGAGAGAATTAATAAACTACTTTTCATAATAATGTTTTTGTAATAAGTATTTCTATTTTGAATCGTAGTTTAGGAAGTAGAAAATTATGGAATGTATTCTTTTGGTGTTGTGAACAAGGTGAAAGTTAAAAGCATTGACATCCATCTGCAATTCCAGCTTTAAGCAAAATGGGGCCCAACTTTAAAATTTGAAGAATCCCCTATTAACACTTATTTTCTTTGGAAGATGGTTTAATAAACAAAATTCATATTTGGGTAAATTTTTATTCAAAAAGACCATACAAGCATAAAACAGATTGGTATTTAATTTTTGATAGTAATTTAATCGTACAGTATTAAATTAAAGAGAGTTATTAAAATAAGACCCCCTTCATATAGCCGCCTATAGGTCTGCTAAAGACGTCAAAGTACATCGGGGAAAAACTAGGCTAAAGATTGAAAAGTGAATAAACAGCAAAATTAACTTTATGCTTAGTAGAGAACTGTACTTTCAACCAACAATCTGCTACCCTTAGTGTTTTTTACATGCAATTAGACTTGTGCTATTTATGATCAAAGAAATCACTGATTTCTTGTTTCGAAAGGTGGCTGAATGCGTAATTTAGTAAACAAGTTCAAATGTCTGACATGTCAGTCATCGCTCTGGTGCACGCTCTGATGTTGATGTATTAAGTTAGTCTTAGTCAGTCAGTGTAAACCGGTAGACGTTAGAGAATTCATTTCTACTTGTGTTCATAGTAAATGCTAATGTTCTAATATCATTACCTAATATAATAGTATACCGTGGCAAGTGAAGTGCATACAACAATGAATGAATTAGCATCGTATTTTAAATTCCAAGAACTATGTGACGTGTTAGAAGCCATATCTGCAGCTAAAAAGCCAAAAGAGAAAAAGGATATATTATCCAAATTCATCCAGCAATTTAAATCAAAAGCTGTTAAGCTGCAGCCCGAAATATCTAACAGCAGTTTTTTTCCCATCTTAAGATTAATACTGCCCCATCTTGAGCGAGACCGCGGTCCTTTTGGAATTAAAGAGTTTTCCTTTGCTAAGAAGTTAATAAATATGTTGTCTTTAAAACCAGATGGACCTGAAGCTTCTTGCCTTCTCAATTACCAAGGTCACTTCAAAAATGTTAATATAAAAGATTTTGCGGATGCAGCCTTTTGGATATTAAAGAAATATTATTATAAAAGTTCAAGTCTAACTATTCTCGATATAAATAATGGTTTAGACATGCTAGCACAACTACATTCGTCAGCGGAACCTCGAAAGTTTGATGAAACATTGTTTAAACTTTTTCGTGCCACTTCCGCTAAAGAACAAAAATGGTTGATAAGAATAATTTTAAAGGACATGAAACTTGGGATAGGTCAGGACAGTATACTCAACACGTTTCACCCCGATGCTGTCGAGTTTTATGCTTCAAACAGCAGTCTTACAAAAGTTTGTGGCACTTTAAAAGATTCATCTATACGATTAAACGAGATAGAAATAGAAATATTTACAGCCTTCAGAGTCATGTTGTCTAAACGATGTGACGTAAATGAATTGGTAAAAATTAGCAGTAGTCCAAACATGCTTTACTATGTTGAAACAAAATTTGATGGTGAAAGATTTCAGTTACATATGAAAGATAATACTTTTAAATACTTCTCTCGTAGAGGATTTGATTACACTGCCACATTTGGCGACTCTTTTGACAATGGACTTTTTACTCCCCTTTTAAAAAATTGCTTTGTTAGCAATGTTAATAGTATAATTCTTGATGGAGAAATGATGGGATGGAATACGAAAACACAACGTTTCGGCTCTAAAGGCATGAACTTCGACGTGAAAAACTTAACAGAGTCTACCACCCATCAGCCTTGTTTTTGTGTCTTTGATATTCTATTAATCAATGATCAGGTATTAACAAATAAACCACTAAAACAGAGAACTAAAATTTTATATGAAAATTTAAAACCTATAGAGGGGGTAATTATGCTTAGTAAGATTGGAAAGGCCACATCTCAAGCAGACCTTGTTAATGCTTTAAACACATCAATGGACAATGAGGAGGAAGGAATCGTTATTAAAGATCCCAATTCTGTTTATAAGATGAACGATAGAAATTCGGGTTGGTGGAAAGTAAAACTGGAATACTTCGAGGATGTTATGAGTGATTTAGACGTAATAATTCTCGGTGGATTTTATGGCTCAGGAAGACACAGACTCAACATTCGAATCTTTTTAGTTGGAATAGGAATGTCAGCTTCCGGTAAACCCCCCAAAAGATTTCTTGCTTTCGCAAGAATTCAAACTGGATTAAGCGATGAAGAATATTCAGTTTTAGATAAAAAATTAGGTCCATTTTGGAGAAAAATGGGTGACGATAATCCGTCTAATTACGGAATCAAATTCGGTAAAGACAAACCGGATGTATGGATTCCGCCAGAACATTCATGTGTTTTATTAGTTAGAGGTTCTGAATTAATAAAAACCTCAGACTTTCCCTCAAAGTATACTTTACGATTTCCTAGAATTCTCAGTATACGCAACGATAAAGCATACTACGACTGTCTAAATGATCAAGAACTAGAAGATTTAACAATAGGATCAAAACACGTAGAAAAATTAAACAAAAGACATCTTGAACTGGATGATCTACAGATTATGACAAAAAAAAGAAGAAAAGTAATCTTAAAAGCGAAGAATTTGAAAGATATTGAAGTTAAACGTAACATCCTGGACGGTTACGAGTTTAGAGTGTTAACTGGGAATAAGGAGTTCAGTAAAGACACAATAGAGAAACTAATTATCGAAAATGGAGGTAATGTAGTTCAAAATGAAGGGAATAAGACATTTTGCTTAGTAGCAGGTTACAATGATCCTAGAATTCAATTTTATCAAGAGAAAGGTCATTTTTGCGATGTTGCTAAATTAGAGTGGCTTTTGGAAGTTATAAACAGTGGACGATTTAAAATGTACGGGCCCTTTGATTTGCTCTCCTTCACCCATAAAACTCGTCTACAGTTTTTGAGAGAGTATGATCAATACTTCGATTCCTATACCCAAGAAGCCACAGAAGAATCGATTAGAAAATCAGTACAATTAATAAAAAAGAAAGGACATTACATAAATTTAATGCCTAATGAAGTTGCCGAATTATTGCGAGATTTAGAAAACGCTACAAATTGAAATTTTATACCAGTAATCAAGTAAATGTAACATACAATTGTGGGTATACAATGTAAAAAACTATTAACACAGTATATAAAAACCCCCAACACCTAGTTTTAAGTATAAAAAATGTCTATATTTATAGGCACATTTGCCATTTTTCCTTAGTAAAAGGGCATGACTTATCTGGTGTAATATACACATAAGAAAAGAAAAGAAGTGCCCTTTCTGTGAAACTAATGTACCTACAGGATTGATATTTGTATGATCTGTACTTGTACTAAATCGAATAAAATATTCAATAAATCATTAACACTATTAAAGTGGCATATAAGGATACTAAAACAGTAGTAGTAAAAGTATATAATTTATTCCATTAAACAGGATAGCCCTAAAACATAGAAGATGTAATGTTGTGAGTATTACCAGTTTACTATGGTCGTTTATACTGGGTATAAGTAACCATTTCTAAAACAAAAACTGATTTTGAATCCGATTGGACTTCCAACATATCTAAAAAATAAAATATTAGAAAAAAATGATTTGTGATAGACTCTTAGTAAATCGTATGCACCTCTGTTACAGACAGTAGGAGGAAGAATAGACTCGTCAGATAGAAGAAAAACTGTAGTTACTTCAGAGCTTCTATGCTTAGATTTCATTTCCAAACGCCACATAAGAGTATGTCTAAAAGAACATAAATTTAAATGAAAACCATTATTAATAATCTTAAAATTGCGGACATTTTCCTTACATATTGTCGAGTTTTACGTCTTCATAATTAACAGGTATTGAAATCTGACAAAGAGGATTACTTTTTAAGTGTGCTGCTGATTGAATGCAAGATTTTAAATCAAAACAACGCTCGAAAACGCTACTACACAAGGGATAATACGAAACAGGTTTATTTAATGCACAGAACTGTTCCATCATTAGTAGAAATTCCAATGAAATGTGTAACTGTGCAAGTTTATTTAGTTTAAGAACACATTCAGATAAATTTATCATGGAAGACTGAGAACACATTGTACTTCTAGCAATTCGTAAATGCTCCATGGTAGGCTTAAATAATGATTTTTTTGGTTGAAAGCTTTCTATTGTATCCTTCGAAGCTAAACCTTCGCTAAAATAAAAAATAATAGCACAATATAGACGAAATACCTTAAAATACAGTACGACTATATGTATATATATATATATATACACCTGTCCTGCACTAGGTATAAGACAAGATAAAATTTAAATTGAAATAAAGAAATATACTTACTTCCACTTTTCAGAAAAAGTATCTTTTGGCATAAAATGAAAATAATTGATGATAAAAACGTAATCTCTTCTCAATTTCTCAATTCCAAGTTCAATAAGGAGTTCTAACGCTTGATTTTCAGTAATATTTGGCACTGCCATTTTGCCACTATATAAACTAGTAATTATGTGTGCTATATTGGTTTGATCGTCATCTGGAATCTAACTATTTATTAATTGAAACACTGTTTCTTAACTATCACTTACAAGCAAACGAGATGTATTATTTTGAGCAATGTCTTCAAAAATTATAGAAAAGCAGTCTTTTAAATCGCTTACTTCTTTACAGGCTAAAAAATTATAAACAAAAAATGTATACAAGAAAATTTTAACTGTGCACCATGTGCAGAAAATATTACAAATGATGGGATATTGAAAAAAGAACGAGAACATAGGGTGCTATAGAATTAAATAAGAAAAACGAGAGATACTGTGCTACCGTGGGACACACTCTGAGAGAGGAAGGGATAGTTAGATGCATAAAAACAGAAACAGCAGTAAAGATAGGCGGAGGAAGACCTACATAACAATACTGCTCGCAAATAGTTAAAGGTGTAGGATGTCCAGGATAGGAAGGAGTAGAGATGCATGTCCAACCACTCTTCCAACTGATGACTCTGATAATTATAAACTTACAAATCAGCAATCTCCAGAGCTTATCAAAAATTGTTTCTTCCTTAATTTCAGCAATACTAGTTATCAAATAACTTAATGATGTACTGGCTCGGTCTTTTACAGTATTTGAATGTTTAAAAGTTGGTTCATTAAGAATTTCAGTAATGAGTTGAGTCAATTTAGTGAAACTCTTATACTCTATCCAATACATGTCATTTTCAAGAAATGTTGCTTTATTTTTTAATTTTATATCAATTAGATAGTGAAGAATTACAATATTGTTCCAAAACTTTTGCATCAGAGATTGAGTATGGCCTGCTATAAGTTGCATTTTCTGACAAAAGAAAAGTGATGGTTATTTTTAAAGGTGATATAAAATGAGCAAAACTTTTTTTATTACCAGTTGTAATTCGGATTTGTACTGAGGTATATCAACTTCACAGTTTTTCCATTGCGCATCAATCAAAACACTTCCTATCATTTCTGAATTAGTAGATACATGAGCATTTGAGAGATCTTTGCCAAAAATAGAATATAATCCACAGACATTATTATCAATCTAAAATAAATTGCACTGCTTAATGTTCCTTATAGTACTCTGTCATAGTATTTTGTAATTGTGGCTGAAAGCAAAAATTTACTTCAACAATAAACGAAATAATTAAATAAATAAATAAGCAGCAAACTTAAAATTTCTTTTTCAGACTCAAAAAAACATTAGGAATGCTAAAATATTACAAAAGCTCCTTTAAATTACCTAAAAGACATAAAAAGGACTACAAAAAAGCATTAAAAAGTAAATAATATAATGAATACAGAAAATTACTTACTTCTGCAGTAGAGCAATTAGCATTAGACATATGCTTTTTTTTCATGGAATCTACTTTAATTGTTTGATCCAAAGAAGAAAGACAGCCATAATCGTACACTAGTGTTCTGCTAAATAATGTATCATTTTTGCAAGAACCAATTATAACAACTTTGCCTTCATTTTTTCCATCACATAGACAGAAATACTTTTTTGTTGCATCACCTGAATTATCACTTCCTTTACTCCTATACAACAAGTTCAAGTACTTCCTACAAAAAAAAAGTACCTATTGAATCTCTAAATGTGTAAAGGAGTTTTTCCTGAGTAACTAAATAGCTGAATCTATTAGGCCAATATGTATTGGGAGCATATTCTGGTTAACAATTAATAGTAAATGAGACTACTGAGATTAGCCTGTAATTGTAATTTTTAAAAAGTTGAAGAGGAATTCCTCCACAATTTCCCAGTGCTAACAGTAATAATTCATGCTTTACAAATATGTACTAATAAACGCAATTACAGTGGGATACTGAAGTATCTTTACATCCTAGTTTCTTTTGGAAACCTTACTGGTTATGTGCTATTATTTTATTAGTAGCTACAATTTGTACAATCTGTCATAAATTAGTTTCTTAAAAAAATGTATATTCTGTTTAATTTAAACTTAGCTAGGCTATAAAGTATTCTCAGTGTATACAAAGAGCTTGAACAGGTAGTGTATATTATCATATCTCCTTGATGAGAGTGATATGGCAAATGAGTCGAACTACACAGGGAATAATGGTGTAGCTGTCCTGTAAATACTACAAGTAGATCACGTGAAATAGTACTAAAAAGTGGTCATATTTGAGAGGATACTACAAGTTAGTCATATCACAAAAGAAGTTTACTGCAGATTACTGAAATGATTGTTTATTTAAAACCATCAGCCGTTATGACTTTGTAACTTATCTTCAACCTGCTTTGACCATCTTATGGAACCTGAATGAAGTGCATAATAGTTATTTGTATTACAAGTTTAAAGTGAAGTTCAATCAATCACAAGATGGTTTTTATTCACCTACAGGCTACTCTATGTTGGGATCTCAATAGTCCTCTTACTTAATGTTAAATATAGATCTAACCTTGCATGCTGCAAATTAATAGGATAATGTTTGGCTTCATCTGCAGTCCACCAATTTATAGGATCAATAATATCTGAACAAACAGAATCTTCTTTACTTAGATCTAATGTTAAAGGACTTCCTGTTAAATCTAATTCATTATTAACAGTAATATCTTCATTTGAATCATCATCACTATTTATGTTAACAGACTTTGGTTTCTACAATTGAGTCGCTTTTAAACTTCTAGACACTTACTATATTATGTGCAATAATGTTACTTACTTGGCCGCATATCAAAATTATTTCTTCATTACTTCTTGTTAAATGTTTTAAATATGTAGGAGTCTTGGTGTACTTTATTACATTTTCTACTTCACTTGAACACACCATTTTACTTAACTTTGCGAACTTAACAATATGTAACTGTATATTAATTTCAAAAGATCAATTAACTAATAAATTAGTCTTTAAAATTGTATAATTTGAGACCATTTCGTTTAAAAACTTCTATTTAACGGTAACTATGACAATAATTTGAAATTTACCATAGACAAAAATTGGCCATAGAAATTGACATCTCATTAAAAATATTTGATGTGTTTCAAGTACCAGGAGGCCACGACATAAAGGTGGTTAAACTACAACATTGCTAATAATGGTCCTTTTTTATTCTTAACCGCAATTTAGGTATTTAGGGACTTTATCGTATTCATATTGTACATATATTTGGAAAACATTGATTTCACGGTTATTTTTCTAATTATAAACATGTGCCTCACTATACAAGATATAACCAATAGTGGAGCTCCAGTTAAATAAAATGACCGAGCGGAGTTTTGTTACTGCGCAACTCAAACTCAAGATTCACGTCATTCAAAATTACATCTAAGCATATTTTTTGAAGTTACGCACTTTAAATTAAGAAATATCCTATCAAACTGATGAATTATTATGTTCCATATAATCCTATCCTAATTTCCTATCTTAATTTTGTTGTTTAATTAAAACTAGAAGAATGAGCAGAATTGAAACAATGGCGAATTCAAAACAGGCAGACTACTTTACTACTTACTTAAATATATATTCCATTTCATTACCCTTGTCGATGGACTACATCCTTATTAAATATTTATTGTTCTTATAGTGTTCTTTTATCATTTAAATACACACATAATTGTCGAGAGAAATTAACTGTTTTAAAATTGCATTCATTTAGATAACTGCAATAAGTATATTTATTTACATTTCTTTTTATTTATTTCCCTTCATATTTATTAACCCGGTTTTTGAAACAATCACTAAAATAAAATTGTTAGAATTGGTTGGATTCGATTCCCGGTCAATACAAAATCTTATTTTATTTGTTTTTTTTGCCTTAATAACGTTAACGGCAACATACCAGGTACCATTAGAATTATATGTTTCACATCTCTCTTTTTATAATAAATTTACCGAAAAAACGTATCAGAAGTTTCGAGGTTCGCATATTCATATAATGATGATTGTCATGAATGTTAATTGCTAAGTCATATTAAAAGGTTAATCATTTAATTAGCTAATTTTATTGAGTTATATGTTCCGGTTTATTTGCGACACTACGTTAAATACAATATAAATTCTAAGAACGAGTAGGAATGTGGACGTAATTAAAACAATTACCTAACATTATTGTATCGTTCTTCGTTCTAGAAGGGGACGTTAAAAAGTAAAAATAAAAGAAAATAATTCGATTATAGGAACTCACTTCACTTTTCAAATATTATACGTAAAACTTAGTAGGTAATTATGTACAAATTAATGTACTCCTATATCCATAATACGTTCTTATTATGTAAGCCTTATGCAAATAAATGCGATACGTTTGCAACACGTAAAAGGATTAATGGAAGAATTACATTAATTCGTGTTTTCAAATTAAATACGGTTTTATTTTCTGACGCACATGGATTGTTTCAATAATTATTTTAACTTTTGATCGATACCAGGCTGCAGTGAAAATAAGTTTTATCCTATTATTTGAAGCCATAATTTAAGATATATTACATAATGGTAGGGGGAACAACTCTTCAGTCGCTTCCTTGTACTCCTATAGTTCTTGCAGTTTAAATTATACAAGTTGGTTTTGCTCCTACTGAGTAGAACAGATCGTGAAAATAGAAATTGCAATAGTATAGTGATATAGTTAATAAATGTTAAGTGTATGAGCTGTAATTTTATTAAAAATGGTAGGTCCAATTCTGCAATTACCGAAGGTGCCTTTTTATAAAATTGATTTTGCTTTATTATTAATTGCACAGTCTTTATAAGTATACCAAATATTAAATTACAAATACGTTTAATCCAAATGTAAACGTACAATTTAGATTTTAACTGAAGAAACAGTATATTTAATGGGTGATATTTAGCCCATACAAAGTAGGATTGTATTTGTAAATGGACTACTGTTAGGATATTACGATCATAGACCTTTTCTCGTTTTTGCAGGATTTAGAAGTACTATTGAGATTTGTTTATGCCCTTATAGTAGGGTGTGTAGTTTTAATGATGTGGATTTCGCTTGGATCAGCTCGAAACATAGAAGCAGTAAACTATCCTCCTTGCTACTTTAACCCTTTGTGCAGTTGTTCCAAAGCCATACCCGATTTAGGAATTGTACGATGCCAGGATGTATCTCTTCCTAGAATTCCAGACACTATCAATTCCTCAAAAGTATTTATGCTTCACATGGAAAACAACGGTTTGAGGCATATTGAGCCGTATTTCTTTCAAAATACAGGTAGCACTTTACGTTAAAAGAGAAAAAAATAAAGAATCCTAATGACGTTTCTGCAGGTTTATACAGAATTTCAATTATCCACAATCCTTTGAGTTATCTCCCTGATGAAGCGTTTGCAGGGTTAGAAAGGTCTATGTGGGAGTTAGACTTGAGTCATAACGAGTTAGTTGAGGTACCGACTCGAGCTTTAAAATATTTACAAAAATTAACACATTTGGATCTTACAGGTAAGCAATTAAAATTCCATAGTCTATGAGTAAAAAAGTAATTGTTATTGCGGAATTAAAAAAAACAATTGAATTTTATTTATCTACACTTTTAATTAATTTTTGTAAAATAATTTTGATTAAGTAAACTGTGTGTTAATTAATTCAATTCGGACCAATACTTTTAATACTTGTTTTTATGCAAAAATAATATGTTTGATTAAAATGTTGTACAATTGTTAGAACTTAGAGCAATGTTTCTATCAGAATTATGCTTTTTTATACCGGGCGCTGTTATATTCAAAATTTTAGGAAACTTCATTTTTGAAATCAGATCAGACACTTGGAGAGGTCTGGAAGACTCTTTAGAAGTGCTTATTCTGGCTGACAACTCAATTAGTCGTTTGCCACTAGACGCTTTTTCGGGCCTTCCCCTTCTAGATACGATCGACCTGACCGGAAACAATTTGCATGAAATCGACCCTTCCGTTTTTCGAGACGGCATGGGTAGATTAGCTCATTTGATACTGAAAGACAATCAGCTGAGTGCCATTCCTTACGAAGCCCTGTCACCTCTAAAAATGTTGAGAACACTTGACTTAAGTTACAATAGAATAAAAAAAATGGAGCCAGCCAATTATAATGAAAATACTAAATACAGTTACAAATTTTCCTTGGACACATTCAGACTGGATTTTAATCAAATAGAGGAGTTAGAAACGGACTCTTTTCAGTTTTTTGGGGTTTTAAACAGGACTTTTCTGGATGGTAATCCTATAAAGTTCGTCGAGCAAAATGCATTTCGACCGGCAAAAATAAAAGAGCTTTATATGAGAGGATGTGAAATAAATGAAATATCACCATTGGCATTTGATGGCTTGGAAAATTCTTTGCATGTTTTGGATTTGTCTGGTAATAATATAACCGCTTTGCATCACGAAATTTTCCATAGGTTTGATGTTCTTCGTACGGTTTCCTTGAAAGATAATTTGATTACCGACTTCAACCCAGTTGAAACATTTAATGGGTTTCAGTATACTTTATACAAACTGGATATAAGTGGAACTAAGAATGCTCTTATTTCAATTCAGGATTTAAGAAGGTAATATAGTCTTTTAATATTATCGGTAACCGAATACGAAAACGTTTGTCTTTACCTTGGATAATTAGATTAAGAAACCTTCGCGTCTTATCGTTATCGCGATTGCAACAATCCCATTTGTCTCCGGAAAATTTCTTGGAATTTGGAACAGACTTAGAAGAATTACAAATCAATTATGGCGATTTGAGATCAATAAAGAGTCACGCTTTCCAAAGCGTCCATGGTTTAAGGAGAATTGATTTATCTGAAAATAGAATCGATACAATAGACAAAGACGCTTTTGCTGATGTAAGTCTTTCATTTCAATATTCTGAGGGCACCGATTATTGAAACTTTATTTTTGTATTTATTTTGGAAACAGATTGGACATTCATTGGTTTCATTGAAATTGTCTCATGCACTTTCCTCATCTATTAGCCAAATTCCAGCGGAATCATTTGGAAGTTTAACGAATTTGGAAGATTTGGATTTAAGTTTCAATAGGATACAAACAATGCCTGACAATTGCTTTCATTTTATGAAAAAATTAAAGATTTTACAGCTTCAAGACAATTTGATAGACAAAGTTCAAAAAGGAACGTTTCAAGTATGTTTCAATTTGTGTTACATCCACTTATAACATTGAAAAAACTTTTAGGGTGACTTACATTCCGAATTAGAAATTATATACATGTCTTTCAATAACCTGAAGACTATCCAACAACATACGTTTACTGATTTGTCCCTTCTCGAACAATTACACTTAGACGATAACAAAATAGAGAATTTAGAGCGTAGAGCGTTTATGAATCTTAACAAACTTAAAAGGCTTAATTTAAAAGGAAACAAAATAGCATCAATATCATATGAAGCATTCCAAAATTTACCGGATCTAGAGGATTTGGACATGTCATACAATAAGATTTCTAAATTTGAATTTGCCATTTTTGACCAAGTTGGTACTTTGTCGATGTTCAAAGTGAACATGTCCCACAACTCGATTACTCGATTAGGTTCTGATAATCCATTATCATTTACAAGAGATAGTGGTGAGTAAAATGTAATATTAAATAAATTTTACCAATATTATAGTAGATAATTGTCTGAAGCGATGGGAACTATGCATTCGACAATAAAAGTTTTGGACTTGTCGTACAATAACATTACGCGCGTTGGAATGAGATTCTTTCATCCTGTCGAAATGTCATTGACATATTTGCATATGTCTCACAATAATCTAAGAAACTGCACAAAAGACATTTTTGGAAACATGATTCATTTGCAACTTTTGGACTTGTCTTATAACAACATTTACGAAGTTGATTATGATACATTCAAAAGTTCCCATAATTTACAAGTAAGTCTCAAATTGATTGTAAAACAGTTCGAAATGGGAGTATTTTCAGGAAATATTTTTTCATCATAACGAAATTATGGATATTCCGAAAGATTTATTTAGGAATCTGAAGAATTTACGTGTTGTGGATTTATCATTTAATAGACTTAGACTTTTGCCTGATAATCTCTTTAAAGAGGATGATCTTGAAAAACTGGATTTGTCAGGAAACGATTTCAATCGATTTCCATTTAATAGTTTCTCGTTGGCTGCAGCTTCAACATTATGTGAATTAGACCTTTCTCATAATTCTATTTCGACTTTAGCTCATAATGAAGCGTTAGGAAAATTTAAAGTAAAAAAGAACACGATTATAAATGTGTCCACGTTAACTGCAAGAAATGTTTTAGAACTTAATATTTTTGGACTTGTCTTATAATAGACTGGTACAACTGGAATTAGCAGCATTCTCCTTTCTACCGAAACTTTTGGCTTTAGATTTGAGTCACAATTCACAACTTGTACTAGAACGAAATGGCCACAGTTTTCAAGGATTAGAGGATTCACTGTTGCATCTCAAACTGGATAATGTTTCCTTTATTCAAGTCCCTGAAATGCCATTGCCTAACCTCCTGACTCTTTCCATGGCTTACAATTCTTTACCCAATATCCCACAGGAGGTCGCATCCAATCTGACATCACTTAGAAGACTCAACTTGGCACACAATGATTTGACCACTGTTCCTTTAGTAACCCATTCCTTTAAGCAAATTACTCATTTATCTTTAGCTGGAAATCCAATAACTGTATTAAGTAATACAAGTTTGCTGGGAATAGGCGATCATTTAGAAGAGCTGGACGTAAGAGAAATGGAGCTTACTACACTAGAGGTAGGAAAGTTTATAAATAAATTTTTCCATCTCACTTACTGCAAGAATTTGTCTTTCAGACCGGCGCCTTTTGTAAGATGAAGGCTCTAGAAACCTTGAAGATCAGTGATTACAAAAATGTGAAAGATTTTAATATTCCTACCCTAATTGAGAAAAATGTTGGTCTTCGGAATTTAGAAATACAAGTAAGCAAAAATGTAAAAGAGCAATTAGTGAACAATTAGAAATTTATATTGAAGTGGTAAATTTTTGTTAATGATAAATTAGAGTGCGTTCTATTTTGTGCAAGATCGAATTAACATGAGAATCAAAGAAGAAATTCGAACATATATTCTTAAAAAAAATTGGTTGAACTTCTTTGAACGTGTTAGCTTAGATAACGAAGAACGTCTCAGTTTTTTCTGCTAATTTTTCTAGGTGCGATAGTTATACTTTCAGTTTAATTTTATTCATTTTCTGGGAAATTCAGAAATGATAAACACGAAAATTCAGATTTTTTAGTTTCATATGGGTGAAAATTCCGGAAATTCGACTATTGCGAAAACTTCTGTTAATTATAACGAGACTTTTGTAGAATTAGATATAGTTTCCGATTATATATTTGAATCTGTCAATGAAGTTATTACTCTCATCTTTTAAAAACTGACTTCGAGATAATTACCTTTATATTTTGCATTTAAAAAATCCTAGCACCGAATTAAAAATGTCAAAAGTTCGAACTTCTGTTTCAATTTTATTTAAAGTAATTAGAAAGTTTATAATGATAACCTTTGATAGGTTGAAAAAGAAAGTAATTTAGAGAAAGAAATGCGAGGAGTTCTTCCATCCAAAATTAGAAATATTACTTTTACTGGACGGGGATTGAAGAAAATTAGCTCATATATTCTACAGGTGAGAATTCAACCCCAAAGGGTAAATTGCAATTACATAATTTTGTTTCTATTAGGGAGTTCGCAGTCCTTTCCTGCACCTTTCGTTTTATAATACAAGCCTCAACTCTATACCAGATGATTTGTTCCTTAATTTAGGATGGGCAAGGAACGTAACAATAGACGTTAGAAATAATGGAAATTTGCAGAAGTTGGAGAATCCATCAACAGGCAGTAGACCTGGACTACCTGGTCAGACATTCCTGCTTGATGTGTGGATGTCCGGAAATAAATGGAATTGTGACTGCAACTTGGGGTAAGCTAAACTCTTTCTACATCTAAATTGCTTTATCTACAAAACCACTAAATCGAGTTAAAAATTCAATAGACAAAAATCATTTTGTGTTGTTTAACGTAAATTTTGTTTAAAAATACCATTTTATTTACTTCGTGAGTACTTTAATTTCCGTACACTGCAGAGGAAGAGCGACCTTACAACGTTTTCGAAACCTAACGTTTACTCATCGTTAATGTGTATTGGTTTATAGTTTCAAATATCAAATTCCAAAGTCGGCAGGTTGAATGATAAATGCACACTGTGTGCTTTCATCTGAAATAATGTGAATATTTTCCTATTTTTTATTAGATGGGTTGAATTTTGGCAACGGAAGCGTCGTCAGTACCTGTGTCAACATCCAAATAATAATCATTTCGAAAATACTCAGGAGTACAATTGTCGTCACGTTGAAGATGATCTTCGATTGTCCAAATGTTCCAACCGTAACAATGAGAGTCTGATAGAAATCTTGAAGTCAGACATTGAATGTGGATGGAGCAGCGCGTCAAAAATTTCCAGTTCCTTCTTTACATTATGTTTGTTCAGTTTATTTTCTCTGCGATTCATATTTAATTAATTATTGTGTAACTCTTGAAGTGTAAATAAATTAATTATTAAATAATCATAGAATTTTTAGTACCTACTTATCTGTACTTCGAATCTTTCATATACATGTACTTACTTGTAGGATGGATCGTGGATAGTCAATTTTAATATTCTGTAAGTATGTACTCAAACGTTATTACATCCCTAATATTGTTTGAATCTTTCGTAACTGACTAAAACTGCATTATTGATAGAATAAAAATTTTTATTCATATTTGTTTTCATTTATTTTCTGTCATTATTATTATTATTGTTAAATGTCAACATCGTATAAGTAACAAAAAGAAATTCGGTAAAGATTAAAATCTTTTAAGGAAAACAATTATTTTAAGTAGGTAACGTCAGGTAGTAGTATATTATACATATATAGCGTCGTGAAATTTAATTGTTCACTCATATTAAAAGGTTAATCATTTAATTAAGTAGCCTTATATTGCGTTTTATGTTCCTGCATACTACGACAGTATGTGCTACGACATTTACGATTATCTGATGTCAACTTTTTAAATAGTTTAAGTACCTTAGTGGACAGGTTTACGAAAGAGTTCTAAAACATAGGAAAATTTCATTTTTTCCTCTTCTCAAAATGTTACTTAAGAAATCAAAGCTGACTAAAGATAAGTCATTCGTATAATCATACCCTTGGTGGAAATACATCTACAACATTTTACAAGACAACTACAACTTCCTACGAGAAATTGCTAAAACATTTTACAACATTTAATAATTATCTACAACTTGGTCCCATCTTCATTATGTTTAAGCACTACAACTTTTTAAAAGAATGTACGCGAATTGGGACACTATTATTACATTGCCTAGAAAGTTGTTGCAAGTTGTAGCTCACTATAAACCTTAAAATTATGTCATATTACGAGAAACCACAACTCTTTATGTCCCAAAAGTCTACAATTTTCTACAACCTTTTACAACTAAATTTAATATATTCTCCGTCTAGTCACTACAATTTTCTACAACGAAAAAAATTGTCAAAAATTGTTGATTATTGTATAAAAGCGTAGTTTGTTGTAGATATATTTTCACCAAGGATATTATTATAATAAGAACACCCAAAAATGTGTTTATCCTTTTTTAGCAAAACCACCATTAAGCATCATAATGTAGATAATGATTTACTTATTGCTCTAAACATAGCTTCAATTAAAGTAATTAATTTTTTTGTTAAATTTTTATTATAACATTGTACTGCAACCTAGCAGTACTATTAAGTATCACGAGATAATATCAGTAGAAGCCCATAGCGGTCATCTCGGCAGTACTGCTAGTGTCTTGGTACTGTGGTAACCTCGACTGTAGATGTCGCAGAGATGTAATTCCATGGTAGGATAGATAAAAAAAAATAATTACTCTGCGTATTGAAGCCATATAACCAGGGGCGCAACAACGTTACAGTTTGACTGGGTGCTCTCACCATAATACTATAAATGACTAAAAAAAAAAGGTCAAAAATGTATTGAATTAAAATTAAAATACTTGAAAAGAGTTCGGCTGCTCATTTACGAGCTTGAACTATTTGAACCGAACTTTCAAGTTGGTTTATTATCAGAATCGACTGTAATTGACTGGGTGCCCAACCCAATCGAGAGGGTGCCCAGGCACCCGTGGACAACCTCTTGTTGCGCCCCTGCATATAACAATGACAAAAAACACAAATTAATAAGCTATCAAAACGTTAAAGGTATTTGGCTGGGCATACCTACTAGTGAACTTTTCTTCCTAAAACTACATCTACGTTTTGCTTTTGGTGAAGGAATCTCCTAGATGGTTTACTAGTTATTGATTATTAATGCAAAACAGTCTTCATTTTCTGCAAATCATTTACATTTCTCGTTATACCCTTGAGTTACTAGTTACTATATTGTGTCATCATTGTAGTTCAGAATTCGGCCCCAACGTATGAGGCAGGTGCGGCAGGGTGTATGAAACAGTCAACGGGTCTCTCCGTTCAATGGTCAATTGCAGTCTTTTATTTGTTATCATTAAGTTAAGGAACTGTTAGTTTAGTTTACGAAAATGATACATATTTTTTGATTGACTGGAATGGTCCACTAAATAGTTCAAACCACAACGCCAAAACTCATCAGGATATATCCCTTCTTAGATTTCCAGAAGCTGTAAATTCTTCCAAGGTATTAAAATAAATTGCCTATGAAAAATAAGAGTTTGAGGCATATTAGGCCACATGCTTTTCAAACTATAGGACCATAACCTTTTAATTCATCTTTCTGATGAAGCATTTAAAGGATTAGAAAGTTCGATGCGGGAATTAGAATTGAGTCATAACGAATTGGTCGAAATACTTACTCAAACATTAAAATATTTGCAAAAATTAGCACACCTTGATCTTTCAAGTAGGCACTTAAGAATCTGATAGAAATCAGTAACGATTTTTATAACGCCATCCTTATCATGAAATTAGAAAAATGTCTGTCTTCATGCGTAGGTACTATTAATTTAATAACTTTTTTAAGTGATTTTGCTAAAGGAAAAAGGTCCCCATAATCGCAATTCGCATAATTTTTAGAAATAAGTCTTAATGAAGGTTTTTCATTTATTTTTATAATCTCTCTATTAAAACCAAAACTTTATTAAAAGACTATTAGTGCTTGTTAAAACTAAATGGTAAAACAAGAATCCAAAATATCGTATCAGACATCGGTGTTAAACATTCCGTTTAGTCTCGTGGTTTTTCATAACAACAAACGTTTAATGCCAAATTGGTATATTTCGAAATTATTAAATTCAAATTAGCTCATTTTATATACTTAACTGAATATCTAAAGAATCATCATTTTTCAAAACTAAATACTTGAAAGGGTCTTAAGAACGCTTTGAAAATACGCAAGTAGTAAGTACCCATTCCTTATTCTAGCTGACAACTCGATTAGCCGTTTACCACTAGACGCTTTTTTGGACCTTCCCCTTCAAGATACGATCGACTTGACCGGAAACAATTTGCATGAAATCGACCCTATTTTTCAAGACGGCGTGGGTAGGTTAGCTCATTTGATACTGAAAGACAATCAACTGAATGCCATTCCCTACAAAGCCCCGTTATCTCTTAAAATGTTGAAAACCTTTGACCTAAGTTACAATAGAATAAAGGAAATGCAACCTCCGAGTCATAACGAAAATGCCAAATACAGATGCAAACGAAACACGTTTAGATTAGATGTTAATTAAATAGAGGAATAAAAGGCCGATTCTCTTCAGTTTTAAATTTTACTTTTCTAGATAGCAAACCAGTAAAATTAGTTGAACAAGATGCATTTCGACAGGTAAAAATGAAAAATCATTTTATGAGATAAGAGAGGATTTTTGATTAATAACTTTAGCGCAGTTGAAACATTTAATGGGTCATACAAACAGGATATAAGTGAACATAAAGGTGCTACTAACTCAATTTAGTATTTTAGTAAGTAGTGTAAACTCTTAATATTATCAGTAACTGAATGCAAAAACTTGTCAGATTAAAAAATATTCAAGCTGTATCGTTATCGGGATTGCAATAATCCCACTTGTTTCGGAAAAAATTCTTGGAATAGCAATTGGATCTGGAAGAACTATAGATTAGTTATGGCGATTTAAAATCCATAATAAACCATGCCTTCTAAAGTGTGCATGGTTCAAACAGAATTGATTTATCTGTATATAAGATCTATGCATTATCCAAAGACGCTTTCGGCGATGTAGGTCTTTTAATATTCTCAAAATACTGATTATTGAAACTTAAATTTCTTTCTTCCTTTTGTAGGTAGTAGATCGGGCATTCATTAAATTTGGAAGGTCTGGATTTGGGTTTCATTTTATTGAAATGTTAAAGGCCCTCTACAGCTTCAAATAAGGAATATGTCAATTTTTTGAAGATGTGCAACTCTGACATAGCTGCTAGATAGGTATACTTTGGGGGTAATTTAAATTCTTAGAGTTAGATTTTGTATATCTACCTATATTCCTTTCATTAACTTACTGGTTGCTAAACAAAACATGTTTACTTATTTACCTCTTCTTTAACAATTACAATCTCTTAACAAACTTAAAAGGCTTAATTTAAAAAGGAAGTAGCAATAATATTTCAAACACTTCAAAATTTACCGGATCTAGGAGGATTTGAACATGTCACACAATATGATTTCTAAATTTAGATCTATAGCCAAGTTGGTGTTTCGTCCACGTTGAAAGTGAACATAACTCACAATTCAGTTAAGTTCGGATAATCTATCTATAGATAGTGGCGAATAAAGTGCATAAGGCCTGTATGTCACTAAATAAACAAATATATCTATTTGCAGAATTGGCGTGTTGAGCTATATGTATACCAATAAAATATTTTATTAAAAGTTAACTTTTGCTGGCAAGGTTTTACTTTTAAATTTTGTCTACGACGTATGTATTTCACGTTAAGTACCCACCTAACTTTTATTAAAATTGTAGCGTTATCAGTTTAAACAAAAAAGTATTGATTAGAAAAGGCAAGAAACAGCAAACGATGTCTGTAATTGTTATCATATTTAATCGTTAAAATAAATGAAGACATTTTCAAAAATATTCTTATCTGCTATCGTGCCATCTCTGTCTTTATCGCATGATCTTACGGCAACAAAGAGCCGTGACGTCACTGATCGATACAACTGTTTTACGATTACTCCTTCATGTTTGTTAATTCTCAAAATTTTCATATTCCGTTTTTATTGATTCTAATGACTTGAGGAAATAAAAATAGAATTAGTTAAATGTACAATTACCAACAATGTCACAGTGTAATCACTAACTTTGCTCATAACTGATGTTTCTCCAAAGATTAATTGAATTAGCGTAGAAATACATATACGCTCTGAATGATTTTCAGGAAACGAGATATTAATAATAAATACTAAAATAGATAATTTATTTAATTAATTATTAATTAGGTATACTTCATTTACTTNGTTTACGTAATTCGAATGATCATATTTAATCGTTTATAGAATGTTATCATTTCAAGGGCGACCATCTGAAGTAGTAC